TTGGATCTTGAATTTGGTTATGCTACCTATTTGTGGCTAAGAGATTGGACCTTTGAGTAGATTTTAATTTTTTTTTACATATTTTCTTCTTATCAATGATCTCTTTATTTTCTTATTCTTTTAACATTTACTTTTTGTTTTGTTTTCTTGAACTCTCTATACGGCCCATCTGATTTCTTTGCCCTATCAGGAGGGAGGGGACATCTTGTTTGGTGCTTTCAGTTTAATTGTGTTGTGTATTTGCGGCTAAATGGTTGGACATTCAATTATATTTCTAGTTTTGTCTATGTTCTAATAGTTTCTTAGCAGTAGTTTTATTCCATAAAATGGTTTTCCATCTTTGATGTTCTGGTGCTACAGAGGCATGATACTCAGTTTTGGGCCCTAAATTAGACGTGTAATGTGACTTGTGGATATGATTACTGATTAGATTTTAGAATTTTTTTAATCCACCATTTTATTCTATTTTGAAGGACCTGCGATCTTAACCTCTTGTTTGACTCTCTTGTGCTCTTATTATGGTTCGTTGAATTCCTTTGCCATACATTGTGATTGTTATGGTTTTTGTCTTTGAATTTATTGTGCTAATTGGGGAAAGGTTGGTGTTCGTATATATATTTTTTTTCTATGTATTAGTATTTCCTTGTTAATGACTTATTGTTTCCTTATTATTTTAGCTTTGATCATTTTGTTCCGTTCTCCTTTTCTATTAGTGTCATTTGATTTTTCTGTACTTCCTTGTGTACGACTTTGATTGGTCTTTGAATTAGGTTGTGCTCCTTATTTGTGGCTATTGAGTTGGACTTTCAATTGGATTTTTATTAGTTTGGTCTATATATAACGCTGTACTAAAAATCGGCCCAGGCGCTGCCCAACTGCCTCCGATTCATGAATCGGCTGAAAAAACCGGCCAGGCTGCTAGGCGGGCCCATGCGCTCCAGGGGCAATTTGGCCTGGTTGCTCCTAGGTAGGCTTAGCGACAATTTTTAAGTTTTTTTTTTTTATTTTTTTTTATTTTTTTTTATTTTTTTAAATACTAATTACATTATTTTGTTATCATGTTTTCTTTATAGTATACTAATATTATTATTTGGACTTAGGCCTGTGAATTTATTATAAGTTGGGAGAATTTTATTTTGCAGATAGTGAAAATAAATATAAAATAAGGTATTTAATCTTAATTTTTAGGCCCCCCTAGAACTTTTAGAACACTGCTATATACTTATATTTTCTAACTAATGTCTTGTTTTTTTCTTTTTGCTTTTAATTTTGATCTCTTGGTGCTACCAATAACCAGTTTCTTGCTCTAGCTTTGGGACGTCTTGGGTTGGACAATGAATTTGGTTGTGCTACCTATTTGTGGCTAAGGGATTTGACATTCCATTAAACTTTAAGTTTTCTTATATACTATTATCTTACTACCAATTATCTCTTTATTTACTTATTCTTTTAATATTAATTTTTTATTCTATTCTCTTGTGTTATCAATATAGCTTATCCGATTTCTTTGCCCTATCTAAGAGGACGTTGTGGTTGGGCTTTGACTTAAATTGTGATATGTATTTACGGCTAAGGGTTGGATAATAGATTATATTGCTTTAGGTTTGTCTGTTCTAATATTTTCTTTAATTGCAGTTATAAAATGGTTTGGCATCTTTGTTGTGCCAGTATTAACGTGGCATAAAACTGAGTTTAGGCCTCAATTGGATGTGTGCCATGACTTGTAGAATTGGTTTCGAGCTATTGATTAGAGTTTAGAGTGTTCAATCAACTATAATCTTGTAGTTGGCAAACCTGCAACCATGAATTCTAATCCTCTGTTTCACTCTTGTGATGCAACCTTGTTAGTTCCTTATTGTTTCCTCATCATTTTAACTTTGATCTTTTTGTTACGTTCTTTTATGCTATCAATATGGTTCAGTCGAATTCTTTGCCCTACCTTGGGCGATGACTTGGTTTGGGTTCAGTTCTGCTGCTTATTTGTGGCTATAGAGTTGGACATTAAATTGGTTTTATTATAAGTTCGGTCTCTGTACTAGTATTTTCCAACTAAGGTCTTGTATTATCGTTCTGCATTTAATTTTTATCTCTTATGTTACTCTCTTGTGCTCCCAGTACAGTCATCCAATTTCTTGCCCTGCCTTGGGGACGTCTTGGTTTGGTACTTGAGTTTGGATGTGCTATTTATGGCCAAGGGATGGACCATCGATTAGATTTTCAAGTTTTCTTTTATACTATTTTTTTCTTACAAATTATTTCTTTATTTTCTTATTCTTTTAACATTGTTCTTTTTGTTCTTGTTTTCTTGTACTATCAATACGACCCATTCGATTTATTTGCCCTATCCTAGGGACAATTTTGGTTGGGGATTCAGTTCGACTATGCATTTGATTGTGCTACTGATAATTCTTTTTTCTGGGGGTTGTGGGAGATTGGTGTTCATTTGTATTTTGTTTTTGCTATGTAAAAGTATTTTAAATGACTTATTATATCCTTATCTTTTATCACTTTGTTCCGTTCTCCTTTGCTATCAGTATGCTTCATTTGATTTCTTTGTCCTTCCTTGGGTGACGACCTGGTTTGGTCTTTGTATGAGGTTGTGCGGCTTATTTGTGGCTATGGAGTTGGACATGAAATTTGATTTTTTATTTGTTTGGTCTGCGTACTTGTATTTTAGCTTTTTTTTTTTCTTTATACTTTCAATTTTGATCTCTTGTATTACTCTCTCACGATACCAATACAACCAATTTCTTGCTCTATACTAATATTTTTCTACCAATGACCTCTTTATTTCCCTATTCTTTTAATATCAATTTTATGTTCTATTCTCTTGTGCTATCAATACAACCTATCCGATCTCATCGCCTTACCTAAGGGGACATCTTGGTTGAGGCGTGAATTTTGGTTGTGCTATGTATTTACGGCTAAAGGGTTGGACAATTGATTATATTTTTGTTTTGTCAATGTTCTAATCTATTTAATTGTAGTTCTTAAAATGGTTTGCCATCTTTGATGTTCTTGTAGTAACGTGGCATGAAATGGTCCTAAATTGGATATATGCTTAGACTTTTAGATATGGTTGTGAGCCATATATTAGAGTGAGTTCAGTGTTTTTCAATCAACTATAATACTAGCTTTTCAATCAACTACTGTATTTTGGCGAACCTGCAACCTTAAATTTTAATCTTTTGTTTATTCTCTTTGTGCTGTTACTATGGATTCTTGAATTCCTTTAGCATACTTTGAGATTGATATGATTTTGTCTATTAACTTTATTGTGCTACCTATAATTCCTTTTTAGGGGGTGGGGGATTTGTTGGTATATTATACTTTGTTTTTCTCTGAGCAAATATTTCCTTGTTGTTTATTGTTTCCTTATATTTTAAGTTTGATCTTTTTGTTCAATTCTCCTATGATATCAATATGGTTCATTTGAATTCTTTGCCCCACCTTGGGCGACGACTTGGTTTGGGTTTGAATTTGGGTGCGCTGCTTATTTGTGGCTGTAGAGTTGGACATTCAATTAGTCGTTTTATAACTTTGGTTTTTGTACTAATATTTTTCATCTAAGGTCCTATATTTTCATTATGCTTTTAATTTTGATCTCTTATGCTACCAATGAAGTTCATCCAATTTCTTGCCATGCCTTGGGATGTCTTGGATTTGGCCTTGTAGGTTTAATTTTTTGTTCTGTTTTCTTGTACTATCAAAACGGCCCATCCAATTTCTTTGCCCTATCTCATTAGAGAAAGGACGACCTAGTTTGGGCTTTCAGTTCGACTGTGCTATGTATTTGCGACTAAGGGGTTGGGCATTCAATTATATTTTTTGGTTTTTTCTATGTTCTAGTAGTTTCTTAGCAATAATTTTATTTCAAAAAATGGTTTGCCATTGATTTTTTCAATCCACTATAATATTCTATTTTGAATAACATGCAACCTTAAATCTTAATCTCCAGTTTCACTCTCTTGTGCTCTTAATATGGTTTGTTGAATTCCTTTGCCATACTCTCTGACTCGGTTTTTGTCTTTGAATTTCATTGTGCTAATTGGGGTAAGGTTGGTGTTCGTACATATTTTGTGTTCTCTGTGTATCGTTTGGACAATGAATTTAGTTCTGCTACCTATTTGTGGCAGAGGGATTGGACATTCCATTAAACGGAAGTTTTCTTACATATTAATATCTTTTTACCAATGATCCTTTATTTCTTAATTATTTTAATATTAATTTTCTATTCTGTTCTCTTGTGCTATCAATACAACTTTCTAATTTCTTGGCCCTACCTAAGTTACATGTTGGTGGGGGTACTATGTATTTACGGCTAAGGGGTTGGATAGTCTATTATATTGTTTTAGGTTTGTCTGTTCTAATAATTTCCTTAGTTGCAGTTTTAAAAATGGTTTGCCATCTTTGATGTCGTGGCATGAAATTGAGTTTGAGTCCTAAATTTTGTGCTATGACTTGTAGATTTGGTTGCGAGCTATTAATTAGAGTAGACATGACCACGGGCCGACCCGAAACCGGCCTTGAGCAGGCCCGAAATCGGCCTTGAACTGGCTTGGAATCGGCCAATGGTTAATGGGCCTTGAACCGAGCCCGTGGCTTGACCGGGCCAGTTCTGGGCCACAAATATGTGCTTTTTGAACCGTCGGGCTGATTCTAAATCGGAACCGTCTGTTTGGCCCTTTTTTTTGAATTTATTATTATTATTTTTGGTGAACCGGGACGGCCCAGAACCACTGGTTCACCAAACCGAACTGGCCCGTGCATACGTTCGGGCCGGTCCAGGGCTAGGCCAATGCTTGGCTCGGAACAGGCGGTTTCGACCTAAAAATGGGTTTGGCCATGTATATATTGGAGTTTAGAGTTTTCAATGAACTATAACATTGTATTTGGTGAACCTGCAACCTTAAATTCTACTCTGTTTCACTCTCTTGTACTGCAACATTGTTAATCCCTTATTGTTTCCTTATCATTTTAATTTTGATCTTTTTGTTTAGTTCTCCTATGCTAGCAATATGGTTCATTCGAATTCTTTGCCCTACCTTGGGCGACGACATGGTTGGGGTTTGAATTCGGTTCTGTTGCTTATTTATGTCTATAGAGGTATCATTCAATTAGTTTTATTTTAAGTTTCTTCTATGTACTAATATTTTCCATCTATTGTCTTGTATTTTCATTATGCGTTTAATTTTGATCTCTTGCATTACTCTCTTGTTCTACCAACTAATGAGCATCCCGTGCGATGCACGGTGGGCTTGTTTCTTAAAATCTTTTTTTAAGACTTTATTTTAACAATATATTAGTTTGCTAACCACTTATATCAATAAATAATATTTTAACATCTATATTTATTGTTTGATATAGAAAAATAATAATTTTGCTTATTTTGTTCAATATAATACCAGTGTTCTAAAAGTCGCTAGACGTTCGACCAGCGCCTAGCGCCTAGGGCGCCTAGTCGGGGTCCAGAAATTAATATTAAATACCTTATTTTTTTATTTATTTTAACTATCTACAAAATAAAACTATCTCAACTTATAATAAATTTACACACCAAAGTCCAAATAATAGTAGTAATATATATTAAAGAAAACATGAGAACAAAATAATGTAATTAATATTTAAAAAAATTAAAAAAATATAAAAATAAAATGAAAAATTGCCGCCGAGCCCGCCTAGGAGCACCTAGGTCCGCCTACGCCCGCCAAGCCCGCCTAGGAGCTCCTAGGGCCGCCAAGGCCCGCCTAGGCGCCGCCTATGCCGCCTGGCCGATTTTTTTTGCCGATTTGTACAAATCGGAGGCGTCCGAGCACCGCCTAGCGCCTAGGCGCCGCCTAGGCCGATTTTTAGAACAATGCACAATACTCAACTATTATATTTTTAAAAAAATTTATCGTCATATAGTGTCATTATTATTATTATTATTATTATTGTGTATAGCACTTACAAAAGTAGTATTCTTTATATATAAGATATCTATATAATGATAAATATTTAATATACATTAATATTATTTAGTTATGTGATTAATTTAAAAATATTTAAAACAAATTCAAAATAAATATTGTGCCATATATGCATTCTATTCGTTTTTAGAATTTGTCCCATATCATAATAATTAAAAAATCATATATATACATATATATAAATATATATATGATTTAAAGACATTTAATATGTTAAGCGTAAAACTGAAATTAATAATTAGACAGTATTATCGGTGAATTCGTGGTAGAGGTTTTGTAATTAGATTATTGAGTTTTATGATAGAAGATATTAACTCAAAAGATTGCGTTTGATTTATTTTAAATCAGTTAACCATTTAGATTGTTAATGTAACAAAAATAATGGAAATATTTATTGTAGTTAGATAAATTTCGACAACCAATTGCGTGTATTTTCTAAAAGTTAACTAATTTTCACACGATTGTGTAGTCAAAATTTTCTAATACTTTATCTGACAAAATGATTTAAATAGTCCATATAAGTTAGGTGCTTTGCAAACTGTAAGAAGGTATGACAAAGTTAACAAAATATCACACAATTGTGTGATGGATTTTTCAAAAATAATATGTATTAATCCTAAAAAAACATGAGTAATTAGATAGTATTATCGGTGAATTTTATGATGAAATTTTCCTAATTAAAGTATTGAATTTTATGATATATCCTCAAGATATTGTGTTTGATTTTTTTTTTTAAATAAATTAACAATTTAGAATTGTTAATGTACAAAAAATAATGGAAAAATCCAAATTTTAAAAATGTGGTGTTTCCGTGTGATTTTTTTTTTTTAAAATAAATTCTAGTCGAGATTTTCCAAATTTTTTTCTAAAGAATAATTTCTACAGTCCATATTAATTTGGATTCTTTCCAAACAGTAATAAGGTGTTGAAGTTAAATTAATATGGACACTCGTCTGATTTTGTGAAAAATTTTGTTTCATTGATTGTATAGGCGGGATTTTTTTTTTAAAAAAAAATCATTCAATTATGAATTGCAATTTAAAATTTAAAACAAAAAGTATTTATAATTCTTTTTCGTAATTAATTATATATGCTTCTAATAGCAATAAATAAATTATCATATACATTAAATATTTAATATGCACATCTCATAAATAAATATTAAGAATATTAAATAAATAATGACATTACTCATATGAAAATATATTATGTAATAATAATTTTGTAAAGTAAAATATTTGCTCGGTTTCAAATTTTTTGTTACAGGTTGTCACATAATGAAAAAAATAAATTTAAATTAATAATTTATTTACCAAATCAAATCTAGTAGGTTTAGTATAATATTTTAAAAATATTATTATTATTATTATTATTATTATTATTATTATTATTATTATTATTATTATATATGTAAAATATGTTTCATATATTATATCTACTAATAATATTGTGAATGAAATTAAAGAATATACTCCTTTAAATTTTTTACAATTATGGTAACAAATCTCTATGGTCAATATTATGACCATGTTTTTAGGAATTAAAGTTTATACAATTTCTTTATCAAATAACAGTTTTTTGAATTTACATTTAGCTGCCATTTGGCAAAAAATAAAAATAAAAAATACTATGCATAATAATTTTGAAAATTTTAAGAGGGAATTTCGATAATATATCAAGTAAATCACTCTTTCTATTATATAGTAATAGATTTACGGAAAACAAATCAATATCTTTACACACAAAATTCATAAATATAAATAATTTATGGAGGATTGAAGTTTATCAATATTTAGTATAACATTCATTATTCTCAAAACAAATTTTTGTTTGATTTACAACATTAATTTGAATGGAAATAAAATCTTAATTGTGGGGATATCTGAATTCAAAATCTCAAATTTTTGGCATAAGAATCTCTAAATTTGTTACCAATAAAAATGGGATTCCTATGGGATTAATATATAAGAAATGACTTAAATTTTGGTATAAGAATCTCCAAATTTTTTAACATAAAAATCTCTAAATTTTCATCCTATTGGATTAATGTTTAAGAAATAAATTAAATTTTGGTATAAAAATCTCCAAATTTGTTACTATAAAAATCTCCAATTTTTTTGGGACATCTCAATTAAATTTGATCCATAAAGATTCACATGTGTTTTTTTCCAAAATTTCCACTAATAGTAAGTCAAACTATTTATTTTTTAGTCAAACTTATTATAAATATATTTTTACAACAACTTCTTTATATTACTATAGATAGAGTTTATCCAATTTCATGCCCTTCCTTGGGGACGTCTCTTGGTTTGGGACTTGAATTTGGTTGTGCTATTTATTTGTGGCTAACGGATTGGGGATTGGACCATCGATTAGGTTTTTAAGTTTCCTTTTGTACTATTTTTTCTTACCAATTATTTCTTTGACGTGTATGTTAGATGAAAAAAAATTTTTTTTCCTATTCGAACTATAACAATTTTCGTGATTCACAATATAATTTTTTTTTTTTACAAACCGCCATCTGAACTATGAGGGTTTGTCAATTGCCCCATAAACCGGATATAAAAGTGGTTTTAACTAAAAAAAATTGATTTTAAGGGCATTTTAGTAATTTTATATAAATTTTCTTAAAAAAAAGAAGAAAAATGAAATAAAGGAGGAAAGAAAATAGTGGCAGCACTGACTTTCAATCACGTCACCACCGTAAACCCAACTATCGACTTATTCTCTCTCGCAACAACACATTTTTTCCCCATACATCCTCCATGTACGCCATCGAGAATTCCACTCCCCTTTCGACCTAGAAAATTTCAATCACGGGATTAAAACAGCAGACAAGCTTATGAAGTAGCCAAATCGAGCTCGCCATCCTAACAAACAACTCGTGACACAACCAATGATTTCCAAGAATCCAACACCTTCTCCTTCCTGTCAAGATGTCTGAAAATTGAGCACTCCATGGTCGGGTAAACAAGCTCTTCATACTTCCTCTCGCAAAATCTCGAGAACCCGCATTTCATGTTCATGCTCAGAATCTCCATGGGATTGGTCGTGACATGTTCGATTAATTTCCTACGATGCTGTTGGCTACCACATACGTGGCGGCGGGTTCCGCATGGAAGTTGGAGCGAAGTAGAAAGGAGACACTGTCAAGGGGCCGCCGCTCGAGCGCTCTCCGACAACCTTGAGGATTTGATGCTGAGGGCGGCGAGGACGTGGAGAGGGACATGGGGGAGTTGGAAGGCCGTCGGCGCCACCTAACTACTAGATGTGGCGGCCCTTGACCCCATCTGGGCCAAGCTAGTTTTGGGTCATCAACTCGATTCAAAAAGGCCGAACCTTTTTCTCACAACAGGTGGAAAAATTCGACCGTGAAATCTGCATGCAACCTGGCGGAGGCAGGAAGGCAGCGTCAGGGGCTGAGCGATTTGCAGGCGAGGTGCGCGCGGCAGAGGGGCTGGAGTGGGGCTTGCTCACGGGACGGTGAGAAGGCGGGCTTTTGGCGGCGTATTGGTTCAGGGTGGCGGTGGTCATGTGCCTATGCAATGCTCTAACGCCTCACTTTTTATTACTTTAAATTCCTTGATTTTTTTTTTCTTTTCTTAAAAATTATTAAAAAGCTCAAGGGCGCTACTACTTTAAAACTTGCAATAGCCTTGTAAACTTTAAAACTTACTCTTCATCTAACTTTTCTTAGCATCGCATAGCTCATCGCATATATAATCATACTTGCATAAATAAAAACTTCTTCATAGAACTATTGTACTCAAACCAAGTCTCCAGAATGAACTTAAGTAAATAAACTCATAACCATAGTTTTAAAATTTAGAGATAACTCAAAGCATAAAAATGTGGAAACCAATTCCTTTTTTGACCACCCTCGTCATCGCTCCAATGCCAACTCGATCAACCTTGGTGTGGAAAAAAAAATGGGGAGAACATTTTCACTTACTCAGTGAGGAATACTTTCTACGCAAAACATTCAATATAATAACAAATCATATGACATCGACATATAACATGAATAACTAATCTCGTTTCCATCTAGCAAATGGTGTTACCCACAAACTAGAAGCTTACCTTTTCCATTCCATTTAACAAATGGTGTTATCCAAATGTCAGAAGCTTATCTCAAACTCCATTCCAACAAAGGTGTTACCCAAATGTTGAGAAGCTAATACATAATTAAACAAGCTACAGATCTCAACCATAGTATAAGCAATTATAGAGAATGTAAACATAGCATAGTAAATTCCCCACCTCGTAGTGCAGTTGTTTGACTCTTGAAAGATGCTCTAACAGTTGAGGGTTAGACACCTCGACTATCTAAATTATTGGGAAGTGGATTTTAAATTGTTGAAAGGTGACTTTTATTGATTATTAGGAAATTAACATCTCTTAGCTCTTGAGAAAATCAATTAATCCGCTAAACCAATTGATTTTCCTTGTCTCGCTTAAACCTCTCTTGAACTTTAAAAACAAAGCTCGTTTAAAGTCTTAGAAATTATTGAATTCTTAGCTTTCTTAAGAGTAATTACTCTAATCATCTTGTTGATCAAATTTCGAGTCAACACATCTAAAGTTTAACTCCATCATAAATCAATCCAATATTTCTCATACATGTCACATAAGCATGAATATTGAAGATAAAATATGTTTTGCAATTATACCAAGGTTTTGGACAAACATGCCTTGCACAACGATTTTAAAATATGCACAACTTTCAGCATATAACTTATATGATCATGATTCAAATTCCAAAATGATCCTAAGACATGCACCTAAAACTTTCATTTAGATAAAAAAAAAGCAAAAAAGGTCATTTAGAAGGTGAAACATCAACTAACATTCAAAACCTAGATGCTGTCAGAAAATCGAAACTAATTCATGCCCTATCCCACTAAACAGAATATAACTTTTTTACTCAGGAAATATTTTTGAATGATTCTTGAACTTACAGAAGATAAGAGATTGAAATACATCTTTCATGAAGACCTCAATTGTATTTGAGCACGTTAAAGCAGTAAAAACAGTTCAAACTTAATTTATAACCTGCTGCCAGCTTTTCAGAAAACTGGTTGCCCATTGATTTTAAAACGAGCATTCCTAAAATACAAAAGGTTTTTGCAAGATTTCTGAACTCACAGAAAGCCAACAGAATGAACTACAATTCATATGAAGAGTGCAACATCAAGAAACACGATCTTGAAGGTCAAAATAGCTCATGAGCAGGGGGACAGAAACCAGCAAAATCACATGTTAATCATAAAGAAACTTCAACAATTTAAATCCCGACTAAGGCAACTTAAACCAAACTTCTAAACATTATTTTTACATCTCAAAACATGATCAACATCACATAATTTCCAGCATCTAACCCCAATCTCATAAACATGAGCATGGATCAATAGAAGCATGCATAAGACATCGAATTTCCTTCTCTTTTCCTTAACATTCATCGGCATAAACTTAATCTAACATTCTCGATTATCCTAACTCTTAAGCAATAAAAATAATCCAATTTTTTCTAGATTTTAAACTCTTTTATAAACAACTTTGGTAAACAATTGATCCAAGATCACACTTGTAATTCCTTTCTCTTATGCTTGATATCATGAATTTATTAAACTTGTTAATATTTAATTCTCTTTGATTATCAGAACACATAATCTCAGCCCATAATTAGGGAAAGTGTCGGTTTACCGTGCTCGGGAAAAACAGATGGGGAAAAACAAGAAAAGATCGGCTCGAAGGGTTGGCCTCGGCTCGCTCAACTTGCTCGCGCGCATGGTCTCCTCGGCGTCTGCGGGCTGCTTCCCGCATGCTGCTGCTCGGGAACGGGGTGCGTGACCGTGTGGTGGTGCTGCTGCATGGACGAGGGTTGCAACGTGCTGGGCGCGGCTTCTTCGCTCGGAGGAGCAGACAGGCTGGGTGTGTGTGGCGTACGGCTAAGGGCAGACGGCCGAGGGAAAATGAGGTTTACTTATAGTGCTAGGTTTTGGAGACTTGGAAAAATAAAGGACTCCTAACTTTTGTAGGGATGTGATTCTCTTTCCTTTCATGATCAAACTTGGTGACCAAGACAAGAACTCTCCTTCTCTTCTTTTTCTTTTTTTTTTCTTCCTCACGATTTACACTAAAGGGCCGAGATTTTGTGTGCTATTTAATCTTAGATTAATACTCCTTCTCCTCCATTGCTTAGGATTTTGATTAATCAATAAAAAATTATGATTAAAAGGATTTTATTTAGAGAAAATTAAATAGATGGGGACATCTAATTAATCTCCATTATTCTCTATTTATTAATAAAATTAAATGGACGAGGACATCCACTTAATCAAATTAAAATGTCTAGCTTAATAAAATAAAATGCATGAATTTAACTATATTCTTTTGGGGCGCTACAAATGCGGATCGCGTAGTCATGTTGGTCGTCGTCGTCTCTCTCGCCGCCAAATACGGGTGGTCGGTAAGAAAGCAAAAGAGATAATATTTTGCATTTATGCTTTTTCATTTTTATAACTCTTTAAAAATAGCTAACATTTGACTTGGCATATTGAAAATTGAAATTCAATAATATTTTAATTCAATATGTATATGAAGAAACTATTCATTTTTCTCCATTTTTTTTGAANGCGTAGATGAATGCTCCTGAGCGTACACCTCCTTCATTTTTCTTTTCTTTTCTTTTTTTATTATTTTTAGTTTTTTTTTTAAACCAACTTCTTCATTTTTTTTTCTATTAAACCTACTTAAACTAATGAAATCGCACCATAATGTAGTTTGTCTTTTCCTACTTAAGCTACATCTTTAGTAATATTAAAATATGAGATTGGATCCAACGCCCTATTGTCACTAGGTGATTTTATGCAATGAGTGAGTGGGTAATCATCATTAGTTAGCAAACACAACTTCATCGTTGGATTCAGATAAGAAAAATAACTCGCACATACAACACTTCATCATTTGATAATAATACTTAAAAGCTACATATACATACCTAGTGATAATAATAACCTTAATAAACTTACATTGATACATTTCTTTTCTTCTTTTTTAATTTCTTTGCTACATTCAATTCAACCACTACTCCCAAGCCTAAAAGCTCTTTACAATGGAGCAAATACTTATTCTTCTTCTATTATTAAACACACATACATAATTAAGGAGATAAAAGTTCTTTCAGATTGTCTATATATGTAATAATCATTCAAAGATTATCACATCACATGTTAATTTGGCTGGTGAAATGGCTTGAGCATGGAAATGAGTGATCCACTGAGGTGTAGGGACATGATCTCATTGGTGGACCCCACCAGATTCCCGCCTATAAAGACAGCTGGCAGCGGCCCGTTACAGCCCATTCTCGCGAGTGCCTTCTCGATTTCCGTGCCGTCCGGGTCGCGGTCGACCTCGTAAATACGAGCATTTGCTCCGAGTTCTTGAAATAAGATTTGGACCGCGTAGCAAAGGCAACACGTGCTTTTGCTGAAGATCAATATCCCGTTTTCTGATGCAAGTTTCACCACCTTATCCATTTTTTTTTTTATAGATTATAAAATAAATCAAATCAATAAAATCTGAGGTGAAATAGTGATTTGATGTGCTTCTATGGGCGACTTATAAAGGAAACAACAACCCTATTTATAATAAGTTGATAAAATAAGCAATAAATAAAAGATGAGCAGCAAAGAAGTGGACTGCTTTGTTCCACACAAGAACATTGGAAAAGTTTTACTTTTTTTTTTTCTTCTTGGATGCCAAACAAACTTGCAAAAGATACTTTTTTTTTTTCATATCAAGTTGAACACAAACCCTAGAAATCAATGATATATCACTTGCTGAATAGATTCTTTCGTAGTCGGAGCAATTGTGACCGCACGATATGAAGAACCACAGAATATATATAATCCTCCTAAAGAAATATTGATATGATGAATATATGTTGTGTTGGTCAAAGATGACAAAATTGCATTTTTGGCTAGTAATTTGTGGTCATTTGCAAAACAGGACACCTGTTTGTTTATTTATTTATATTTTTGGTAGAAGAGGACTTGTAATATAAAACATCACTGCCCATTTATCGGCGAGTTGGCCGGATAGCCTAATGAAACACCTTCTTGCTTATGTGGTAATTATTGGATCGTGGATAAATAGTTCAACATTTTTTTTTTTTTTAGAAAATAGGAAAAAAATAAAAATATCAAATAAAATAATTTACGTACAATATGAGCCGAAATTGCCATATATCACAGAAGTTAACCTAAAAGAATTTTACTGGGAAAACCAATATTACTGAACGTGGATTGATTATTATCCATATTCGACTACTTCAAACTAATTTGACGAATGAGCTTGTACAATCTAAAACTTTGACGAACAATTAAATGAACGAGTTCGACATGAGTGTGTACTTGAATTTTAAATGAATGAACACGAACAATGTCCGAACATAATCGAACACGAGCTCAAAAAGTCCAAGCTCGACTCATTCTGTTTGGTTATAGTATTAGGCGGAGATGTTAGTTTGGCTATGCATCTGAGTGACAACGATGAAGATGATATCTGGCAGGCAAATTAACAAGAGTAGAAAACAAAATGAAAAGAAAAGAAACCAATGTTAAGTTTAATTTTTTTTTTTTAATCTAAGTATTAAATTTTTTTGACACCAACTTAGAGCCAAAAAACTGAAGATAGATAATAATTAGTCTCCATCGGCTATAATTGGTGATTAAAATTCTTGCGTGTGGGTTAATTTTCCTTGATATATAGCAGTTTAGGTCCCTATTGTTCATAAATACATTGTTATATTTTATTTTTGTCCATTTTTGTCAAAATACAAAAACGTCTTATTTTGTCACTAATAGTTATTGGGAAGAAAATGCATTTTCTATACAGTTAAAATGACACGTCACCTGTCCACATGAGCGATATCGTGATTTGTCACCAATATCCGATGCAACTCCAGCAATTAGGGCGATAATTGCTTGGTTATTTAAATTATTGTCATCCTTTGTCAAAAATAAAAGAATCTGTCCTATTTAGCTAATGACCATAAATTAAAGGGCAGAAAATTCAATTTTGCCGTAAAAAGATATGCTCAACATTTAGAGAATGGTAATATGTAGAACACGTAGTAAGGCTAAGAACCATGCAGCGTTGCAGGATCTTTCTGTCTTTTTTAGGAGGAAATTAATGAAATTTCAACAAAAAGTAGTAAAGTATCAAGAGAGAGTGGTCAATTCAATTTTCTTGCAGATTCTTGGAAAAAATCACCCCTTTCTTTTGGGAGAAAGAATAAAACATTATAAAAGATTCTTGGTCTCTGTAAGAAAGATTAGGAGAGAATAAAAAGGGACCTTTGAGTGGTGAATCTCTAGAGTTGAGACCACCAATTTGTTGCAATGGGGTTTTATCGCGATCTCTACAGCACGTGCCCGAATCTCTTTGTACGCATCTAGCATGCTATTGATCAGTTTGTAGTACGTACAATGCCAAAAAACGATAATGACGCATTTATGAAGGTCTCATCATTAAAAAATGTATTTTCAATTGATGCTTTGACGAAGGTGATGTAGGGAAGCGTACAAATTGGAAGGATAAACGAGATAATCTCTCGATAAAACTCACAATCAATTCATTTTTCTATTCAATAATCAACCAACTAAAATTAACTAGAGGGGGTCCTTTATATAAGGCCCCTAATCCTAAAACCTAACTTGATCACCAAAAAAGCTAGTAAAGATTTAAATACTAAAATAATAATAATAGTAATAATAATAACTATCCTGCATCATTTTCCTTCGGTTCGGAAGGCTTTGCCCTCGAAACCACACCAAACGTGCTGGCACCAAAGTCGTACCCATGGCAATCATCGCCCGACGTTTTCCCCTATCGATCACGAAGGTCGAATGTCTCCCAACGTCCACTCTAGCTGACCCACACAACATAGGACCCCTACTTCCGCACCAAACACCCCCGGGTATCATAAAACTGAAAAATTCAATGCCACCTGAATGGTCAATAACTTGAAAGTAGTTGTCATGACGTGTCAGAATCACCCCATCGTCATCTTCCATTGCTTGTGCCAGTTCAATTGCACTTTGCTTAACCTCAGGATATAGCATACAAATAATTGCATCTACCAGCTTGTGAAGTGAAAAATCCTCGACTGGAATTGGACTAGGACCTACGCCCATGGCATGCACACTCCCTCCCCAAAAAGGTTGGTTATAGTCTTTGTTGGTGTTGCTGCACTCTACAATGAAATCCTACGGCCCCGGAGGCTCCTCATAAAAAACCGGTGGTCCGACATAAAATGGCTCGTCATCGAAAACTGGCGGGTCGTCGTAAAATGGCTCGTCTATGTGAAACACCGATTCCCAATGCTGGTTACCATCACCTCCATGTTGCTGGTCGCGCCCGTCGCCGAACCCGTCTTCAGTGCGCCGTCCATCGTGCACCCAGGCCACTGCGAAACCCCCATTTGGCCTCCACAGCTCGCGGTGTCGACCATCGCCTACGACTTCCATGCTCGGCCGCCTCTGGTCGCGAAATCAGAAATCGGCCAAGGTCTCCTCGTCGCGCCTCCCCGTGTGGCCAACGAACGGGTTTTCCGCCGACCAGGTGCTCTCTCTGTTCTCCGTGCCGTTCAAAGGCGACGGGGACCGCTGTTGGGGTGCCCCAACATAGCCGCTTCCCCCACGCCCGCCTCTGTCTCCCCCGCGATCTCCCCGGCCCATAGCCCTATCGCGGTTAGTCTGCAAATCCGAAACAACCACGTTGTTAAATGTCAAGCGCAAATCCTCGATCCCCGTCAAAAGATCGGCAAACCAATCCGTGAAACGCACGTCCAATTGTTGAAATCGATAGTCGATATGTTGAAACCGATAGTTGAAGGTTACCTCACGTCGTTCGTTTGCGGCATCTTGTCGTCTCGACGACATCGCGAATCGTACTGACTACTGATACCAAATGATGTAGGGAAGCGTACGAATGAGAAGGATAAACGAGATACTCTCTCGATAAAACTTACAATCAATTCATTTTTCCATTCAATAATCAACCAACTAAAATAAACTAGATGGAGTCCTTTATATAAGGCCCATAATCCTAAATTAATCACCAAGAAAGCTACTAAAGATTTAAATACTAAAATAATAATAATAGTAATAATAATAACTATCCTACATCAGAAGGTCTAATAATTAGCATTAATTAGAGTTTTAGTCCTGTAATTGGACCGAAATTGAGACTTAGTCCTTTCCGATACCCACTTTTGGAAAACGTCCCGTAAGTGCCAAAAATCTTGAGAAATCGTCCTTCCACCAGCAAAAGCAGGTCACTTTTACCGGCTAGTCCTTCCACGTGGAATATGTGGCATAATTACAAAAAATTTAGAGAGGAGGGGGTTTGAAGTTGGGTTGCTAGGACTTGCAATGGGCCAAGGAGCCACTTGACTTTACAAGAATTAGTGTTAAAATCCGACTTCAACTATATATCTATCAATAACGTTTTATCAAAAAACAATATACATATATATATATATATATATATATATATATTCAATCTATACTACTTTTAATTATAAAACTAATACATAATAAATATGTATTAGTTATGAAATAAAAATCAGTAAACTCAACAAATAAATAAATATATATATAGTATTATATATTTTATACCTTGTGTAAGTAAAATTTTATTATCATTAATGTTTTTTTATATACTAATTTATATTTGTAAAGTTTTAATTATTTTTTATATATATTAAATAAATATTTACTAAATAAATAAATATATTAAATAATATAATAAATGTATTAAATAATACGACTTTATTTTAAAGTATTTAAATATATATTAAATATTCAAATAAATAAATATATTAAATAATATATGTAATATATATATATATATAATAGTAAATATATTCTATAACTAAATAAATATATTAAAGGTTGTTGATATTAAATAAATATATAATAAATAAGTAATTACTTAAATTTTTGTTTAATTAAATATTTACTAAAAAATTATATATAACAAAAAATTAAATATTTACTATATAAATAAGTATATTCATTAATATAATAAATAAATATATTAAATTTAATTAAATTAAATAAGGTAAATAAAAAAACAACCTAAATGAAAATAAAAGTTTTATTAAACAAAATACTATATATAGAATTTATTTATTTTAATTTCATTATTTAATTACTAAATTTATTAAATATTTATTACTTACAAAATAAAAATCAGTACACTAAATAAATAATAGACAATATCATTTTATTTTTATTCTAATTATATGTTATACTTAATTATATTTTATTGTGTTATATAATTTAAAATATATATTAATTACGAACTAAAACTGAATAAAATTAATAAATAAAAAATACTTATAATATTTTTTTTAATTATATGCTTTATTTAATGATAGTTTATTGTAATATTTATTATTTACTATATTTAGTAGTTAATTTTACTATTAAATACTTAGATAAAAAAATTATATTATTTAATATATTTAACTATTAATATAATAAATGACAAAATAATATTTTATTATTCAATATAGTTATTTATTAACATATATATATATATTTAATAAATTTAATAATATTATTTATTAGTTAGTAAATATTTAATTAATATATTAAAAGTTTTCATAATACATATAAATTATTTCATAAAATATGTATAATNTTTATTAATATATATTTAATAAATTTTATAATATATTTATTATTTAGTAAATATTTAATTAATATATAAAAACTTTCACAATTCAGCTCGCTCGTTTTTGTCCGTTTCACTCGTTTCTTCTATTTTTCTCATCCGTGCATCAATCTATCATCATCCCGGGGGTCCTAGGTACTCACCATGCGCCTCCAATAGCCAAAAGCTCTACAAATATGTGGAACTATATACAAAACAAGCACGTGTAATACCTCTCCAACAAGATATAGAATTATAACACAATAATGCAATTTATACACCAATAATGCAATGACTAAGCTCTAGATGCTCAATAAATATGGTGTAAAATCACACATGAACACTCGCGCGTTACGCAACTTGATGTTAAAGATGACGTAGATGGAAATATTATTTATTATATTTGAACTTATTTTTATAAATATAATATTAGTAGTGGATGAATTATATTCATTATCACAATTATTATCATGAATAATCATCAAACAACAGAGATCGTGACTCTAGAAACAATCAATTGATTGTGGCTACAAAATACCATATTTTTTATTAATTTTCAAATTAAATAAATTTCACTTAAAAAGTATTAGTGATATTTGACAAAAAAAGGTAGTTGCCACATTAATGACACTTCTTGAAACTTTTTCTATAAATGTCTCGATAATAACATAATTTTAATTATTTTTGAATAAATAAAGACATTACTTCTATTCTATAGATAAAATGTTATAGATAAAAATGTACAAATATGTGTGTGTACCTTCAATCAATCAATGTTGGACAATATATATAGATAGATGAGTACCTTTAAGTAATCAAAGATGTTATTGTTCTTAATATTTTTCAAGTAAATTTTCTTTTGACATAATTATAACTTTAATGATATTTTCACATATTTATTTATTTTTAGTGTCATTATATTGAAAGAGAAAATATATATCTAAGTATTGTGAAGTATTGTGCTTGCAAATATAATTGATTTGCAACCACTATAATAATTATAATAGGCGGGGATGAAACATCCAAACAAAATTGGTTAGCTTCTAATTTCCAATAAAAAATGATCATTACAAAGGATAATTATAGAGCATTCCAGCAATTTATCAAAGAGTATGAAAGAAAAAGAAGATATTAGAAAACTATATTAAAGATGACAACAATTATGATCATTATTTTAAGAAATAATAAGAATATCATTAATTAACAAATTCAAAAATTTCATAGATTTTGTTACTATCTAAAATCANTACTTATATTTATATATATATATATAGGGTCGCGCTCCAGCGAGAATGATGCTTAATGCTAGAAATAAGAATAGATCGTAGTCATTAGATCTGATGATCTAATAGTTAAAAAAAAGTCAAAAATTATACTTTCATTAAGGGTAATGTGATAATTTCATATCAATGCACATGTCACCTGCCAACTACTCCATAATTCAGTTAACTCATACACCACACATCCACTAATTTACTGCCACGTGACAAATAAATCCCACCATCCCAACAACTCTTTCTCTCTCTCACACTCACACACACAACACACACACACACGCCTGCAAGGAAAAAAACACAGATCTACACGCACAGCACCGCCGCACCACCGGCCACTCCACACACAGCACCGCCGCACTCATCGAACCGAACGCCGCTATCGTTCGCCGACGGCCGAGAACGCCGGTGTCGACTCCGCCATTTTTTCTTCCACCGACTCCCGCCGCTCAAATCCGACGAGAAGGTCGTCTCCTCCGGCGAGACACACGGCGACGACTGTACCTGGAGGTCGGAGATCTTCTACCACACGACACATCGCACCGGCGCCGCGAACGGTAGTCGGTCCACTCGCACCGGTCGCCGCCGATCTCAGCCATCTAGTCGCGCCGCTCAGCCGCCCGGTCGCACCGTGGTTGCCGCCTCGCAACGCCGCCACTGGCACAACACTGGTCTCGTCCAAACGATCGAGGACGCTGAGCTCGTCGTGCCGCTGGTCTTGTCAGGCACACGGCGGCCGCCGGTCTAGTCCAAACGGCATCATCCGCTGCCCGTCGCGAAACTCCGCCACCGGCCGCCGCCGACACTGGCAGTGCCCACCGCCGCATACATCCGAGTATGCGCCTCTGCTTGCGGGCTGATCGAACAACAATGGCTGGAAGAAACTAAATTGGGAGATGGGTTTTTTTAATGGGAATTTGATAATCTCAAAGGACTTGATTGCAATTTTAAAGATTTTTATTTTATTCAATTTAATATATGGGGGCAAAAACCTGAACGGCAAAATTAGAATAGCAGCAGAGGATAGCACAAAGCTCCATCCAAATAAATCAGGAGAAAGAAAAAGTTGAATATGTGAACAAGAAAATCAAATATATCAAAAATCCAAATCAAAGGACTGTTGTGTGAATCGAGTTAATATTTCCATTTTTTGTTATTTTTTTCTTTTTCTCGGTGGTTGCTTTGTTTTGAATCTCCAACTGAAACAATAAATGAGAGAGATAAAATAATTGAGTCCATGTTTGGACTGTTTGAGAACTTGGAATTGCATTAAAATTACTAAAATCACGATTTGGTGTATGGTTGGTTAGAGAGAACTACATTACGTGTTGGAATCTTATTGGTTGTTGCATTACACGTTTTGGGTGGCATTTTAGTATTATCAACCTCAAATTTATTTTAGTCCACCGATAGGTCCCATCACAAAGAATAATAATTTTATAATGTGATAATATAAAATAGTGCACTTTATATATCCGTAAGATGCACTTTGTAGAACAACATGTTGCACTTTATAAAACAACATGTTGCGCTTTATCATCATATTTCACATTTAATACCAATATTACAAAAATATATTAAATATAAACGATGAAAAATAAATATAATTTTATAATATAAATAATAAATCATATATATTATTTAGATTAATTCGGTTAATAGATCGAATAAATTGACCAATTAAATCTGATTTAATTTGGTGTGGATCAAACTATTAAAAATGCTTGCAATCAGATGCACATTATTGTTATATGAATTGCACTTTCATGACTATTGGATTGCACATTTTAGTCTACACTAGTGCGTAGCTCGTGCGATGCACGGGTAAATTATATAAAATAATAATTATAAATTAATAAGTGAGTAAACAATATTGAATAATAAATATAAATAATTAAATGGAGCTAACATGAGATACCATTTACAATATAAAAAATTATCTTGTCTAAGATAACATAAAACATGCATGTTTAAAATATTAAAAACACATAAAATATTATATAACATATATAAGATTATGTAAAATATTACATATTATTCTTAAAAAAATTTGAATTCACTTAAAATTTTTCTAAACTATTTTGTAACCAAAACATGTCTAAGGATATTTAAATTTAACATATACATATAATTTAATCTATAGAATGCGTTAAAAATTTACTCGAAAAATATGTTTAAAAGTATAAAAAACATTAGTAATTACAAATTACTCCAACAGAAGATTTCAAATTCGAAATCATGAAATTTAAACAAAATAAGTCAAAATTTTGAAAAAGTGTAATTTATGAAATACATGTCAAATTGAAAAACATAATATTAGCGGTTTTCAAAATATAAGATTGTATCTATTTCCAAAATAGGATTATCGGTTTCGAAAACACATAAATTTCGAACTTATAGTATTTGAAATCTAAAATTTTGGTATTATTAAATTGAAAGAGTCCCAACCTTTGAAAATTAATAACTTTTTAAAAGTAATGAAATTGTTTTATGTTAGATTCAAGATTTGTTGCGATTTTTAACAAAAAAATTGTTGATTTGATTGTTCAGTAGAATTTTTTATTATATCCGATTTTGTTGCAACCAAATCCTAGGGGATCTTAAAATTTAAATTTGCAATTCAAATTTGGTCTACTTTAAATTAAATTTATGTAAAAATATGTAATTTCATTTTGCCTAATTCAAATTTTGTATTCAGCCCGATATTTTTTGGCAACCAAATGATAAGGAATAAAAAATTTTAAATTTAAATTTGAAATGATACTTGATATTAGATGCGATCAGTATTTTTCTAAAGAATAATGAAATGGAATTTTGAATTCCACAAAATTATAAATATATATTTAATTTTTGATTTATAGAAAAAGATGTTATTGTATTTTGCCTAATTCAAAATTTTTGTTGAGTCCGATTTTAAGGTAACTATATAATCATAATGAATAAAAAAATTTAAATTTTAAGTTCAAAATGAGAACAGATTTTCTATGCAATAAGATTTCCCTCCAAAAAAAAAAAAAAAAAAAGATAAGGAACTTTTGGAATCTACAAAATCGTGAACAATACCCAAAAGTACCTCATTCACAAAACTCATATAGGATGCAGTTATGGGTTATCGATTTTTTAGTAATTAATTAAAAAGAAAATTAATCAACAGACGAATTTAGAATGCATTAATGATTGTTCGCTTTTTTTGCAATAAAATAAAAAGAAAATTGAAAAATTGCTAAAAATAGAATGTAATAATTATTGTTTGACTTTTCTTCTTACTAAATTTGGTAAATAGTTAATTTTTAATATAATGATAGATGTTGTACTTTATCACCACACTTCACAAATATTAAATATAAACATTGAAACACAAATATAATTTGATAATTTAATTAATATATCATATATATTATTTAGATTAATTCAGTTAATAGATCGAATAAATCAACCAATTAAATCGGATTTAATTTGATGTGGATCATACTATTAAAAATGCCTGCAATCGGATGCACATTATGTTATGCGAATTGCACTTTAGTGACTATCAGATTGCACATTTTGGTCTACACGTTGCACTTTATCACCACACTTCATATTTAATGTCAATACTAAAAAAAAATATTAAATATATACGTTGAAAAATAAATATAATTTTATAATAAAAATAATAAATCATATATATTATTTAGATTAATTCGGTTAATAGATCGAATATATCGACCAATTAAATCGTATTTAGTTTGGTGTGGATCATACTACTAAAAATGCCTGCAATCGGATTCACATTATTGTTATACAAATTGCACTTTCATGACTTACAGGTTGCACAATATCGATGTGAAAATTAATAATATTATTATTATTATTTATATTTTTTTATTTATCGATGTGTACATTATGTTTATACGAATTGCACATTAATGACTATTATATTCAACAATATCGAACGGAAACGACATAACCAAATTTTTCGCTACGAAAAAAATTATTATCGAGTTTGATTATTATTAATTTATTTGTTTACGTTTAAAAAACTCGATTATTTTGATTTGATGTCATTTTTTTATTTAAATGACATAAATAACCGAAAGACAAAAAATATATAAAAAATAATATATTTTTTTTTTATATTTCAGCCAATAAAATGAAAATATAATAAAATAATAATTATGTTTGGTTAATTATACATTTGACTCATAGACCTAATTGTAATATATTATACTTTATAATTAATTATACATTTGACCCATAGACCTAATTGTAATATATTATACTTTATGAAATTGCCACCAAGACCTTAAGAAATATCAAATTTTCAAACATCAACCCACAAATCTATGTCTGCCACAAAAAAATAAATAAATAAAATAAAAAAGAAAAAAATCCCGCCTGAATCACGGCGCCTTTCTCCTTGGCATTGCCGCCGCCACCGCCGCCCTGTGAGAAGACGAAGGTTGTGTACGGCCTGGCCGCCGCCTCTGCCGTTGTCATCGCCCTTGACTGACAAAGTCCGCCGTGGAGGACGTCGTCGCCGCTGGAGAAGAGGAAGTCCGGCGAGAGGTGAAGTCCGTCTCGAACCCGTCGGAGGCGAAGAGGTCGACCACGAGCGCCACCATTTTTCACGTCCGCCGGGATGTCGTCGAAGCTAACCGGCGGAGACGCTGTCGGCGGCGAAAACAGGATATTTGACCGAGAGTGAGCCGCCGGGTTTGATAAGCAGCGGGATGCCGGCGGGCGGTGGCTGGAGGAAGCAGGCGGTGGCTGGCGGCAGACGGCGGTGGCGGTCGGCAGCAGGCGTCGACTGGTGGCAGTTGAGGATTGCCGGCGGAGCGAGAAATATGTGCGTGTATGTGTGAGAGAGGAGAGGCTGTTTGGTGCGTGTATGTGTGTGAGAGAGGAGAGGATGTTGGTGAGTGTATGTGTGTGAGAGAGGAGAGGATGTTGGTGAGTGTATGTGTGTGAGAGAGGAAAGGATGTTTGGTTTGGTGGTAGTGGGGCCACACGTAAATGAGGGTGTAATTTTGTGATTACCATTATGCCCTTATTTAGTGGTTAATTGTGTATGTTTGACCACAAATTGTACATATATTTACAGAATTGCCACAACAGGTTTGACTCCATGTTTAATTTTTGACTTGATCAAGACCATTGATATGTTGGATCCGATGATCCATACTCATTCTTATTTCTTTCAATAAGGATCATTCTCATATGATCCCTTCTATCTCTCTCTCTCTCTCTCTATATATATATATAAGGAGTGGTTCAAATAAAAACTAGTCCTGTTGTGAGAACCGTGAGAACTATATTTGATGCTATTTTTTATTGTGTATGATGCTATTTTTAATATCACATGGTGCTATCATTTTCATAAATACTAATATAAATAGTGTTGCTATTTTTAAAAAAATAGATCTATATTAAAAATAGCACTAAAACACAATCAATCATAGCACTACGTACAACTATAAATAGCGGTTCTCACGGTTCTCACGCTAGGACTTGGTTCAAATGAGAACCAAGTCTTAATGTGAGAACCGTGAGAACCGCTATTTTTATTGGGGCGTAGTGCTATGATTGATTGTGTTTGATGCTATTTTTAACTAGGATAATTTTTATTAAAAATAGCAACACAATTTCTGGTAGCACTTGTAAAAATAATTGCATCATCTAATATGAAAAATAGCAACATACACAATTAAATGAAAAACGGTTCTCACGGTTCTCACACCAGGACTAGTTTTTATTTGAACCAGCCCTTATATATATATATATATATCTAGTTTTTATTTGAACCAGCCCCTATATATATATATATATATATATATGTATGTATATGTATATATATGAGCGGATCAAATGCGGCCAACTTTTAAAATGCGCCAAACTCTTAAAATGCGCACCCAACTCTTAAAATGCGGACAACTCATAGGAGAAGATGAAATTAAAAAGGGGTAGGTGGTTATGAGAAAGAAGGATACATATATGGAGGAGGATGAACCGCGATTATTAAAAAGTAAAAAAGCTAAATTTTTTAAAACCTAAAAGAGTTCACGAAAGGAGCATAATAATTGAAAATAGAAAAGGCAATTACATCTAAATAATAAGAGGGAGTAATTATATAAACTCCTAGCAAAGATCACTTCGGGAAGAGTGGACGGAAAGAGGAGGCCCATAAGGGTGTCATTATATTATTTCATAAGTTTCTAGTTAATTATATACAATTTTAACCAACCCGGTTTGTATACATCTATCTCATTTATCGCTTCTCACAATTTCACAACTTCCAAAAAATCCAAATGGACCAGAACTCTAATCAGTAACCTCTTCAGCCTCTACGACTATTCCCACAATCCCAATCCGCGGTGGCACTGCGGCAGGCGATAGCACAGCATGCAAATGCAACGAACGGCGTCTTCCTTCCGCCGCCGGCGTCGAGGAAGCGAGAGCTGCGAGGTCGGCGTGCGGCGACTCGAAGCCAACCTTCGAGCGGTAAGGGGCAAGGCAGCAGTAGAATTTAAATTTGGTGACTGGAGAATGGATTTTGAATTCTGATTTCAGGATGTCTATATAAGGATCTGGTTTGATGTTTACTGTTTTCTCTCTCCTTGACAGCTCTGCCAGCATTTCTGTTTGAATTGATTTCCAAAAAAAAAAAAAAGAAGTTCAAAAACTCAAGAAACTTAGAAATTAATAGCCAAATCAAAATTCCAAAAACTCGACCATATCGAGAGCCAACACCCTGGCATCTAGCAGAAAATGCTAAAGTTTCTCTGACAGTCATTTCACCGATGTGCGCATCGTGTTGGCCAATGTATGCTGCAGATCTTTGGGGTACAAATTCTTGCATTCCATGTCCATCCTGCATTGTTTTATGATCCCACTCACATTCTTTAGGATTGTGAAAGGGTTTTTTCGGCTTGGAAGTATATGCAGACTGTTCAATATTCCCTGCACACCAAAAATAGAATAAAAACATATATATCATTCTACAAATATAGATCGACCATTTTCCTGTTAGTCTCCGTTTGTTTTGAGGGATTTGAAATTCCTTGATTTCAAAATTTTTGAAATATAAATTTTTTTTACTTGCACACTCATTGAATGGATGTATGGATGTGTTGACTCGCGGTGGTGATGAACTTAAATGATCGCGGACGACGTGGTCCTCAACAGTGGATTTCAAATGACTAGGTTTGAGGAATCATTTCAAGTCCTTCAAAATAATGACTGAAAAGCATCTAGCATGAATATGAAATTCTCCAACTTCCATTATCATCCCAACATGCATGAATCCCTCAGTAAATCCTTCAAAACAAACGGAGCCTTAAAGTAAACAAGTTAATTTGTGAGCATGAATCACAAGGGTTATATATATATATATATATATATATATATATTTGACATGCGGAGCGTGAGAAGGCCTCCATGCCCGTATGTTGAAGATGATCGTGTATCTCCATAGTGATAGTTTGCTTATGCTTGACACGTGTTGAAGGTGATCGTGTATCGTGTATCGCGTATCTGCATATGCTTATGTTGATGTTGAAGATGATCGTGTCGGAGATCATGGCTTGACTCGCGATGATTGATGCCAACACGGCCGCTACAAACATCGGCCAGTAAAATGGACCTGTTTTTTTTTATTCGCATTTTTTATGATTTTTCGAGCTTAAAACACATAGAAAATCAGAGAAACTCCAGAGGAAATCAACAAGCATACCTGGGATGGACTCGTAAAATGTGTCTGACATTTGATGTTGTCGGGCTGATGCTCATGTTGCGGTTGAGGCGGGAGGCTTCTTCCGGCGATATGGTTGGGTCATAGTATGGGGACTCATGTGATAGATAATGCACTAGTTTGAGGACACGAGGATCAACAGGAGAAAAAGAAGAATAAGAGAGGCCTAACTGTATGTATGAAATAAGTGCTATTGTTTAATACTTGGACAATCGAATTGCGTTTATAAATTCTGGTTGTATGGTTACATATATATTGGATAAATCACACCTTCTTAGCACACTATCTACTCCTAACTCACACTTTTAATGGATTCAACTTACTGGTACCATGCTTTGTTGTTACTTCGTGTGACACTTTATTACTTAATTTTTTTTCCTTTTTTCAAAATTACGATTTTTTTTATTAAATATTAGGTTGTACATAAATTAAGTATTACAATTGTTATGCTTAATTATTGAAGGCCTCTATTTTTTACGCAAGTCATGCGAAAAATAATTAACTCCACATGGCTTACGTAGTACTATAACATTAGTGGTTGACTCCATAAAGGAGCATTTCTCTTGAAACCAATCCCTATATATATATATATATATATATTTTTAGTTTTATTTATCATAGCTTTGATTAATAATATTAAATATTATATTTCATTATTCAATACTTTAATTATTGTCTACCATAAAATGCAACCAACTTATTTAAACTAATGGAAAGATAATTAAATTATCCTATATGTATAAATCTCACTACGAAAAAATTGTTATATTCCAACGAAAAATCATATGGTAATATATTTTAATAGAAATTTCAACGGATATTCCAATTGTATAACTTCTGTTGGAATGATTCCGTTGAATCGAACGAAAATATTCCATTGGAATGTGTTTTTCATTGGAATTTTAGATGGAATTTGATGATTTCAACGGCTATATTTCCAACGGCTTTTTATCACAGGAATTTCCGATGGAATTTTTATTTCTACCTCCGTTGGAAAATCTATCGTTCGAATCGTCAAAAACCAATGAAAATTCCAATGGAATACTCATTTGAACGGAATATTTTTGTTAGAATTTTTGTTGGAATTCATTGAAAAATTCCAAAATAGCAGCATTGAATATCTATTGGAATTGCTGTTGGAATAATTCTATTGAAATATATTTCTATTGGAATTTCATTATTTTCTTGTAGTGTCTAAAATAATTATAATAAATAAAAATAATAATATCACAACACACGTGTATCTTCCTTATATAATTAAGTTGTCGAGTTGATCAAAGTTTCTGCAATAATAACCAAATATGAAATAAATATTCATGCGGTCTTGAATAATTCAATTCTTAAAGATAATTTTTCAGTTTTTCATTTTATTAAAAATATATTAGTGAATAAATTTTGTTTTGATTCTACAAATTTTACACTTTACTAGTAAATCGCATTATCTTGAAAATCAATAAATTATACATTTACACATCATTTTTTATGAACTCATGTCAATCAAATCTCTGCAACATAAAACCTCCAAATCATATGCACTTTTTAATTTATTTATAGATAGGAATTGGAATCCCATACAGTTTACACACCAGCAACATATGCATTTCTAACATATATACTGCAGTTTCAAATTATGAAAAACAAAAGAGGAAATCAGAAGTTACAATCTCTCAAACATACTCTTGGTAAAATCACACTCATCAAAGCTCATATGTCATCCCAACTTTAAGCATCCTCTTCTGAGGAATATCAAACACCCTATTGCTCTGCCTCAAGTTCTTCTTCAAGAAATTGTAGGCATAATCTATCAAAACCCTCTTCCCAATATTCGCCCCTTTCGCCGCCACCACCTCGTGCTCCCCCACCATATGCACCACCGCGAACCGCCACGCCCGATCCAAATCCCCGATCTCTCCCGCCAAATCACCCCCTTCCCCACCTATCTCACCATGCACCTCTCCCTCACTAGATAACTCCCCATCTCCATCAACATGTTCAATTGGCCTCACATTGTGCCAATAATCCTCCCTAATGAACTCCTTTAATCTCTCAAACAACAATCTCTCAAAGGGCTCTTCTTCATTCCTCACATCCTTGTACCCGTAACGCACGACACAACGGAACACTTGAAGCTCCTTAGGTGGAACCCTCCGGAAAAGGAACCTTTCCTCAACCGGAACTCGGCTAATCGGCAACGACTTGAAGGACACGAAAACCAAAACCGAGTGGAGGGCGGGCACGTTCGACACGTAGTGCTTGAAAATTGGAGGGATTCCGTGAACGAGCTCCGAGTAGAAGATTGCTAGGCCTGGGAGCCTATGGGAATCCATGTCCTCGATAATTCCCTTTACCTCCTCGCCTGATAGCTTGTGGTCGAGTTCAAAATGGTACTTCTTTCGGTAGACGTAGTTCCACACGAACATGATGGTCATCAAGAAGAGGGCGAACGCGAGTGGTAGGTACCCACCTTGATCAAACTTGTAGAGAACCGAACTCAAGTAAACCAACTCAACTGAGCCGATGATCAAAACGTACGCAATCACGAGAAGGATGTGAGTTTTCCAAATCACAATCATGATTAGGACTAAAAATGCCGATGTAAGCGCCATCACGAACACGACAGCAATCCCTGTAAAAGCACACGATCCGTTTAAGTGAAAATTTAAAAAAAAAAAGTTGAAAATACAAACTTATTATATAAATAAACGTGTACCGTAAGCATTGCCGATCTTAGTAGTGGTCTTAAACCCGATGGTTACGAAGACGCAAGCTATCATGAGTAGGTAATTGATCTCTGGAACGTAAACTTGTCCCGGATACTTCTTAGACGTGTGCACGATTTTGACGCGCGGGAAGCACCCGAGCGAAAGGGATTGTTGAATTATGGAAAACGTGCCAGAGATCATGGCTTGGCTCGCGATGATTGACGCCAACACGGCCGCTACAAACATCGGCCAGTAAAATGGACCTGTTTTTTTTTATTCGCATTTTGTTATGATTTTTTTAGCTTAAAACACATACAAAAACAGAGAAACTCCAGAGGAAATCAACAAGGCATACCTGGGATGGACTCGTAAAATGTTTCGGAAACTGAACTGTTGTTCTCACGAAGAAACGAAGCTTGCCCAGTGTACGCCAGTACAAGTGCAGGGTAAGTCACGCTACACATGCTTATTTGTATTGATTGTACCGTAAAGTGTCCCACATCGGCAAATAACGCCTCGGTTCCTGCAATGAGACCATCATAAAAAAAAAAAAAGTNNNAAAAAAAAAAAAAAAAATGAGGACCTGTAATAGCAAGAACAACACCACCAAGGGAAATCCAAGCTTGATCTTTGTTCCTCTTGAAATAATCCACAATGTATTTGGGGTTTATAGCTTTGACCACAGAAGGGTCATATTTGATGAAATTGTAGACACCAATTACAGCATTGAAAGAGAACCAGACACATATTATGGGAGCAAAAGTGTAGCCAACTTTGTCTGTCCCAAATCTTTGGACTATGAAAAGGAGAATTAGGATCCCAACTGATATCCAGACCACCTCATCTGTTTTTAAGGATACAAAAATATACAAAGTGATATTGGTAAATAAGGATATATCAATATTATATAATATACATGCATGTAACAAACAATTTTTTGAATTTGCTTATTGTGTAACACTCACTATTAATCACACTTTTGTTAGGGGAAACTTTGTGAATAGTCTGATACTTAAATTTGGTCTAATTATGCAAATGGTGAGCTATATTTGTCTGTCATTAAATTTAATCATCATGTTGGTGTCAGAGTTATATAATTTTTATTGTTTATTCGTTAATAAGTTAGTGTTAATAAAAAAATCACAAATAAGTCACTAACTTGTCATCGCTTCTTCAATCAAAATAAAAATTTTTGCACCATTAATTGAAATACCAACATAATGAACTAACTTTAAAGTATTATAAGTTATTTGTATGCAATATTAAAATTATAAGTTAGATAATGATAATGATATTATATTTTAAACATAGGGTATTATAAGTTATATTTATGCATATGATATTAAAATTATAAGTTAGATAAATGTATTATATTTTAAAATTTGATCATTGGTTAAAATAAATAGTACATAACGATTTTATTGTATATGAATCACTATATTGATTGCATAAAATAAAATAAATAATATATTTTTTGAAATTTTAAGGGACTATGACTAATTAATTAGCTAAAAAATATTAAGTTTATTATAAATATTGCTTATGAAATTTTAAAAAAAAAATAATTTATTTAAAAAAATAATCGCTTAAGCAGATAAAGAAATATTATATCGATTTTATAATAAATTACTCGAACAAAAAGTTTTTACAATATAGTTTCACATATCATTTAGTGTAAAATATAATTATTAATTGTAATAATAACTATTATATGATACAATTTCCAGAGGTGGTGAAATTATTTTGTATTGTTGTTAATGTATTTGTCCATGTTGTACATGTGCTGTATTTTCCATTTTCACCATGATTAATTATTGTAGTGATATCATCAAAAACAATAGATATTCCAAATAAACATTTATAAAAAGTTTTTTTTTTAAAATTTATATTCTGAATACATGCTTATGTAATCATGAGTTTCTATAATAAATAATTCGTAATTAAGTTAGCATAGTAATGATTATATAAGAAATTAAAAAAGTAAGCATTTTTAGCTAATAAACCTAAATTGATATACTTAGATAAAATAGTGGTCTTTAGTATATGTTTTGTAACTGTCCAAAATTGATGTATTTTGTAAAAGTAACGGTTTTTGTATTTGGAAAGTTTATATTATTTATTAGGTACAATTTATTAGGTTTATTTATGAGGTAAAATTAAATGAAAGGCTAGCAATTATATATATACTAGTAATCAACCTGTGCATTTGCACAAAGAAAAATACTTTAAAAAGATAATAATATAAAAGAAAAAATAATAAATCATAATTTAATTCATGAAAAAATATGAATTAAGAAAATAATTCTCAAAATTGATTTTGATCAAGTAATTGCTATAGAAGAGCCGTTACAACCATTTTCTTTATGCTAATACATCCGACCATTTTCATTAGTGGGTGTGACTTAAAATTTGAGTACAATTTTGTAACTCCCTTTATTGGTTTATGCTCATAATTTATGGCATTAAGCAAGTTATTTTGTAACTTAAAAATGAAATTGAATGTTAAAAATTTTGGAGGGATAATAAAATTTAATGCATTTTGTCCATTGCAAATGGAGCTGGAAGAGTCATTGTTGACAATTCTCCTGGCATAGTGCTAATAATGGACTCGATCAAAATGACTCAATTAAATTCTATTGCTTCTTCTATTAGTGAAGTTTCTAGAAAGAAAAAATATATCAAACGGCGCAATGCACCTTGGGTCGCTACCGAAACAACCTCCTTGTATAATTACAAGGGTAAGGTCTGCGTACAACTGACCCCCCAGACTCCAACCTTTTGGGAATATACTGGGTATGTTGTTGTTGTTGTTGTAATAAAATTTAATGCATGATACTATAATTAAATGTTATGTTGTTCCTCTTTATATATATATATATAGATAAATAATGGGGAATTTTTCAAACATTTATTTTGTATTAATGGTGCCAAATCAAATCAATGGCTTTTTATGAAATTTTCTATGCCTTTTGGTTTCAAATATTGGGAGTACGTAATACTATACCTTGGGTTGTGGAAGATTTAACCTGCTTGATCCCTCCCACAGCAGATAATACTGAAAATGACACAATTTAATGATTATTAATGGTGAAAGATAAATTTACATGACATCCATTCATGACACAATTAGAACAAAAAATTGAATTTACTTACATCTCAAATAAGTTCTGTTTTATAGGGGATAATATCAAATTCACTCTCTTAATTGTAGTTCAGTAATTTTTCAAATGAGCCGGTTTGAGAATAATTTCAGTCTGAAATCTAAATTTTGGCCAAATATATTCAAAATTGATCAATTTAATAAGGATACCTGAAATACAGGGAGTAAGCACGCCATCCCCAATGACCATTGAAGTTCCAAGCATGGTTGCAAACAACAAAAAATACTTTGCAAAATTGCTATTTTCCAGCTTCGTCTTAACCTTTGAGGCCCTCTGAGTCCGATCGTTAGGCAATTCGAGTTGGAAAGTGGACACATTTTGATCTTCAACTTCTTGACTCGGGATTAAACTCACTTTTGCATACCGACATATTAAGGAATACAATGCAAATGTTCCTCCTGCAAAAAATCAGACCAAAAATTAATCAATCCATCAGTTAGGGTGGAATTGGACATAGATTATTTTGAAAAACAAATGAAATTGGTCTAGTTGAGTTAAAAAAAAAAAAATAGATTTTCAAAAAATGAATATTTTATTATTTTATTGCATTTATAGAATTGAGGAAAAAAAGTATAAACAGTAGTTTTTTGAAGAAAAAAGTGATGCATCCAATCATAATTTAGTAAAAAAAAAATCCGCCTAGATAAAATTAGATGAAAAAAAAACTTATATCGAATTCCTCCCTAAAAGTACGAATATAAATGAAATATAACTTAACTAAAGATCTATAAAAAAAAAAAAACTTATATCAAATTCCTCCCTAAATGAAATATAAATGATTATCAAACATTTTATTACCAATAATCTAGCTAGTTAAGCAATTGTTTTAATATGAAATGTCATACTTTAAAAAAGGACATAATCAAATATGAAATATAATTATATATTTTTGTTAAATAAAAAGTATGACACATAGTAAATTAATTCATACAATAATTCGAATTTTAATATTAATAATTTAGTTATATTGTCGTTGCAACTGGGATTATTTATACAAATGATTTTCATGCCCGACAAAAACAAGCATCCAAATGTGACCAAACTCCGGACCGAGGAATCTTTTCCTTTTTTTTTTTTAATTAACAATTAACAATCTAGGTAATTTTGTCAGTATCTGAGATTATTAACGTATACTTTTTTTCTTTTTCAAATTCAAACTTGTCCTATATCCCCTCGATGAACTAAAAAAATATATATATGCTCCATACTTCGTATGTAGAACACGACAAAGGTTGACTGAGAAAACGCGTCGATGTCATATAACACGACACAAAATGCAATACAAAAATATGATGATATCAATCAATACACCCAAGTGAGTACATATAAATTATAATCCTAAAATTATTACAATTTACATAGGTTACTAATTAAGAACTATCCATTTAATCTGTATTAATAGGCAAATTCTACTGTTACGACCGTCTATTATTGAGCAGTAATATTTTTCTTAACAAAAATACGTAATTATGTTATGAAATATTATTATTTTTATATATTTTTTAAATATGACATTTGAATGTAAAAATATATAATTATGTTGAATAACACAAATTCTTATATGAATCGCCCTAGCCGAACTTAGACAGGTCAATCCATTAATTTTTTACTAAAAATATATACTTATACTATATACATGAAATTAATGTCATACTTATGCATATGTTAATTTTTAAAAGTATGATATTTTATTTTGAAACTACCCATATTTAAACTAAAGAAAAACGATTCAATATTATCTTATTAATTGATCTTCAATATTAGAATATGAGATGAGTAAATTAACTACTAACTCACCATCACCATTGTCGTTGGCACGCAGGACGATGAACACATACTTGCACAAGGGTATTAAGGTAATTGTGTAGAAGATCAATGACAAAACTCCCAAAATATCATCGTTGTGTTTGATCCCGTCAGTGAAAATGCTCGAATAAACGTACAACGGCGATGTCCCAATGTCGCCGTACACAACCCCGAGGCTCTGAAACGTCAGCTGGACCACCGCCGCCCATCCTAAAGCCTACAAATTAATATATATATTTTTCATAAGGACCAAATTAAAGAATAAACATAAATTAATTAAAATTGATTTAAGGATTAAATTGTAATATTCTTCTTCTGTTGTGCGTGTGTGTGTGTGGGGTGACGGCTGACCGTGGTGGCGCCGCCGTGGTGGTGGTGGGGGATATTGGCGGACTCCAAGTCCAAGGAGTCGTGCCGCCGGAGCTTGTGGCCGTGAGCCTCATAACTTCCGTTTTGATAGTCGGAGAAATTTTCTTCTTCTTTGCTTGTGAGGTCTTGTTCTGTGGGTTCCATTTTTTAATTTGTTTTTTTCTTTTTTAATAGGCTAGAAATATTGGAGCGTGAAAGATGGAGAAAGAGAAGAAGAAAGAAGAGAAAATATGGGATGAGTGTGGAGAGGAGGGAAAGTACAAGGAAATTGCTCCCAACCATATCCTAATAAGGATGCATGTGTTCAGTATTTATAGGAGTTTGAGAATGTACAGAATATTAATTAGTAGTTGACTAACATTGGGATATTATTTGTATATTCATCTGTCCATAAATTTATGACGACTTCTGTTGAGTTTTATTCAGTTGATATTATTTTCAATTAAAAAAAACCAATGACTGTAACTAAAAAATTTGTTTCCTGCCAATAACCGTTGTTTTACCCACATATATGGATTCTATTTTTTAACACCAAAATTGTTTTAGTTCTTTTATTTATGATAAGGTATGTTATATATATTTTGAAAATTTTGTAATATAATAATTCATATGACAGTTCGACAACAATTGATTTATTATTATAATTTATGATAATATACGTTATAAATATTGTTGTTTTTTTTTTCTAAGCTGACGATTTACATCGTTGTTCAATAGATGACTTATTGGTTTCATTATAATATATAACAGTATACATTATACCACTGTTTTGAGACCCGGACCGGCCCGGCGGGTCGACCCGGGTCCCGGGTCGACCCGGAGCGGGAACCGGTCCGGGTGGAGTGTTTGGACTGGGCAACCAAGGACCCGGTCAAAACCCGGTCGACCCGGTCAAGACCCGGCCGACCCGGGGCATTGACCCGGTCCATATACATTGTTTATATTTTTTTTATTTTTTTTGTTTTTTAAAAATAAAAATATGTATATATGTTTATATGGTAAATATTTATCATGAGATACATATTATGGACACTTTAATATACAAATTTTATACACAAAATATTTAATTTTGTTACTTTTATATATATTTATATAACAAAAATACTCTATATATAATTTTAAAAATTTTAAAATTAATTATCCGGTTCAGCAATTGACCCGGTGACCCGACGGTTGAACCGGTGACCCGAGGACCTGCGCGGGTCGATCACCGGGCCGGGTTTAAAAACTATGCATTATACATAATTTTATAAGTTAATAATTTGCATGGATAAATCTTCAGATGATTCGTTGCTTTGTCATCATGATTTTTTACGATCTATATTATAAATATTTTTGTTTTTCTTTTTAAACATATAATTTACATGATAGTTCGACAGATGACTCGTTGATTTATTATAATCTATAACAATACATATTGTAAATATTTTTATACTTTATAATCTAATATTTTTTTATGGAAGTTCGACAAATTGACCTATTTTTAATATTTTATTATCGTGCGTACTTGTTTCTCAAAATAATTATATTTTTATATTTTTTAGCATTTACTTTTTAAACCCATGAAGGATAAATATACAAATTGCTATCTTAGATTATTTTATACTATTATACATATATTTATATTTTATTGTATGAATAACGTGAGACCCATTTTTTACTTTTAATTCAGTATTAATTAATAAATACAAGGTAATTTTATAATTCAGTATTAATTAATAAATTTAAAGTAATTTTATACATCATATATATTAACGAATAAATTTATTAATAATTTAAAAAAATAGTTATTCTTTAAGAGTGTAAAGTAATGATTAGATTAAAATTATATATAAAAATGGATAGCAAATAAAACTATATTAATTTTTTTTAAATAAAATAACACAAGTACTTAATAAGAAAGATGGAAAAGAAAAAAGATAATGATATAAAAAATAAGTAGGAAAAAATCATAATTAGGATATTTCCTCTTCTGAGCGTTTCAGAAAGTATTTTAAATTTCAGTGCTATTCATCTCGAAGCACCCCCGAACAAATAGTTGGCAATAGCAATAGACCGGCCTGTCGTGCCACGTCCTGGGATAAAACTAGATTGGGTTGCCGTTGAAGATTGGGACTCCTAGGTAGGTGAAGGGCATGGTTTACTTTTTTATAATATACAAACTATTGTCGATTAGCCTATAACTATATCTATTTTCAATTCAAATAAAATTTTAGATTATGTAGAAATTTAATAGTTGATTGTAAGATTAGAAAGTTTAATCTTAAATTATTAATATCACAAGTANCTACATAATACAAAAAAGAATTTACCAAAAGTAAATAGAAGATAAGTAAAAAAAATGTCTAAGAAAGTTTCAATATTTAGTAAGTAATTTCTTTTATCACGGAAAAATCATATCATTTTAAGTAAATATAAACTATTATATTAATATATATATATATATATATATATATTGATCTTTTTGTTTTTCTCTTCTTTTTTGTCTTTTCATATTTTCATGTTTTTTCCCTTTCTCTTTATACAACTTACGAAATTTGGTGAACGGACCACATTAAAGTTTACTTCTTTGTGGGCAAAGGCTAAGCGCAATATTTTCTTATGAAGACTTTTATTCAAATTGTTAAGTATTTCCAAGATATTTTGAACCATCATCTTCACTATATGTAGAAGATATATATGCAACTAAAATCGAACTTCTTGTCTTCTTTTAAATGTTCGAAATTCTATATTTTCTATTTCCGAGCTTAATAGTTACGATTCAACTTTGATTTCCAGTTCAATAGACATTGTAATTTAATATGATTAATTAACAGCTATTCTCCATTTTCAATCAATCAGAATCACTATATTTATTGTTTATTTATTTTATATTTTATATATTTCTTATATTATATGTGTTTTCATGTATTTTTAAAACGTGATAGTTCTGTATGCAATCTTAACGTTTTTAAATCGTTTATTAAATTAATTCTTTTTTGACGATTTTAGTTATTCCTTTTTAATTTTTACTTCTATTGCATGTATAAGCTAAAGAAATAAGTAGGTCCGGTGCTTCGTTGGGAACTTTTGTAAGTGTGGAATGAATATGTAACACCAAAGTAGTGGCGGTTAAAACACAACTATCACTTTGATTTCCCATTTTTTGGGAGTCAACCATACCTTCTAATACATTGTTGAAACAAATAATGATTTCCTCATATTTCGATAGATTTAAAAATTATTTACATCTAATACAAATATAAAAAAAAAAAATATTGATTGTTTTGTCTTGTACCCGTTTAAATCTCACACAAGCCTAAAATGCCTCTAAGGAATATTAATTGTGGACCATAACAATTAAAATTATAGGCACATTAAAATGCATTCATCACATAAGTGTAAGATCTCATCCTTGAATTTTGTATTCATCATGGGCAGAATTGCAGCACTATTATTAAAAAAAAAAATATATCCACTTATAAAATCTCGTGATCTTTGAACTATCATATATATTAACTTGTGTATATAGTGGACGAGATTGCTGGAGAATAATAAAAATATTTACCTACATATCCAATCATATATAAGTATCATTAAAGAATTTGTTTTTCTTTTAAAATCAAATTTCTAATAATTTAATAAAAAACGCAAATTGACAAAAACATGGAAATAAACAAATAAAGAGAGCAGTTTCTCATTTATCCGGTTCCTTAGTTTGATAGGAAATTATAGGAGCTTAACTATAACACTTTTTTCAAAATTAACTAAATTAAATAAAAAAATTCAAACAAATCCAAAAAAATTTATATCCAAGCATAGGATCACGAGCAAAATTGATCTTTATCACGTGTCACGTGTGTGTAGTGAAACAGACTATTAATTTTTGCATCATAAAAAAGTGTCGCCCACTCTTGTGCGTGAACGCATCCATTTTTGACTCACTAATATCAGAAAAAATACGCCATTAATTAAATTGATAGAAAAACTGTTTACTTTTGGGACAACTTGTTCGCATCGCAATTTACAAGTCACATTACTATCATATGAATCTGAAGTGCTTAGTTGAGCTAAACTAAGATTTTCTGGCATGGAAATCGTTGAAATAAGATAAGTTATAGAAGTACTTTCAATAAATTAAGACATGGTGATGGTGAGTAATTTCTAATAATTAAGACATGGAAATCGAACACTTGATAATCGAACTTGCCCCGAGCTTTTACTGAGAGTTCTCATGATTGGATCGACTTTTTAGTTAAATAATAGAGTTTGAACTCGACTATTTTATGTAATTAACCAGTTGATGAGCTGAGATGAAGATTTGAGAAATTACGTAAAAATCATTGTTTCTTTTGTTTAATGATCAGTAGCTTGTTAGTCGAGCACTAAACAAGTTTTCCATAGAGTTTGAGTTTGATTTGCTTATCAAAATTAACGAGTTCGACTAGAATTTTAACAAGTCGAGGTGAACTCTTGATCGAGTTGCTATAAGCATGGAACAAAATTGCAATAAATTTTGCACCAATTGGAGTGCGATTCCGGGAAAATCAAACCTGACAAACTATGCCACTCAAAATGACGATATAATAATCTTAATTATTAACTTTACTCTAATTGTTGGAATATTTTTTCCTATTTGACAGTATGTAGTTCAACACGTTGAGATTCCAGTATATTCCAAAACCCAAGGAAGGACCAGACATAATTGGACTTTATATTGCAAAAGCAACAAAAATCATGAATATTCAAAGTTTTGAACTATAATCATTGTTGCTTTTTTTTTTTGCCTAAGCAATTACTTTAATAGTTATTCATACAAAAGTCAAAACCCGCACACTACGCGGAATCAGCCGTGGGGGTGAGAGACTCTCGTGACAGCCAAACAACTCAATAATTTATAATACTTGACTCCCAATAATGTTATGATAGATCAATATAAGAACTAACAAATATTAACAACACGATGTAAAGTTGCAAAAATTAGACCGTGCACTTCTCTATCATTTAGTAATTAACCAGCTGTATGTAAAGTAGGAAATGCGGGATATATAGAAAGGCAAACGAAAGAAAAAATTCAAAATTGATCCCACATTTATAGGATTATATCAGAATTCATGTAAGAAATTTAATGGGAATATTCATACTATTAAGCGGAATTGAATAAATCCTAAACATGTAATTCTATCAATTCATGAAACAGAATCTTTGCATAAATTAAATTGCATATAAAACTTACAAGAATCTAGCTATAGTCCTTCTTCTTGATCTATGATGTTGATCTGCGATCTCTTCTTCGTAATCTCAATCATGGATTTGTCTCTTCGTAATCTCCAATCATGTAATCT